GATGAATTTATGTGAACGAAGTAGAAATTGACCCAAGGGGAAGTAGATTGTAGATGTAAAAAGTACATTTTTGTCATTCTACCCTTTCAATAGGTGTCCTTCTAATCTAACTGAGATGTATTACTGGCTGCAGCATGCTACAGAAAGTCGTGGGCTGGGGGCTTTTTTCAGTTCGAGTGCTCGTTGCAAGCTTCACGCCTCTTCCCTCCGTCTCTCCTGCTGCACAAGATGGATCCTTCAAGAAGAAGAAGGAAAACACCCCTGCCTCTTTCTCCCTCTTTCTCCCTCTTCTCACACTCTCTCTTCTCATAAAGTGGGTCAGTCTCTGCTTCTTCTTTCTGTCTCTGTGCGTTAGGATATACCTTCACTCGTTCACTCTCTCACACATGTTCAAAGGGGATTCCCAATCTGCTAAACCTGCAGCCACCAAGACAAATCCTCTGATGTTTCACAGAGGGAGAATGGGTGTGGTCCAATGTAAAGGGCCATATTTAATCAGTGTGCTAACGTGGAAAAGTGTGCTATCTGCAGCCAAATGAATGACCAGAAAATGGGGGGAAAAGCCTTCTTGTATCTTGAACACTATTACATAATTTGAGGTCTTTCTATCCTCCATCAGTCCTTCTCCATCTTTATCTAGTGACTCAGTCCCTCCGCTCCTTCCCACCACTGTGTAGTTTAATCATTTTCTTTACGTCAGTCATTTTCTATTTGATGAACCGTGAGAGGCAGAAGTGATTGCTGTTTAATCAGAGCAATGTGGATTAGCCAAGAGCACTGCCCCCACGGACTAATAATTACAATCTGAAACAAAAGTGAGTTTCGTGTGTTTGCAAAATAAAATCTGTGTCGTTTGAAAGTAACAACGATATGGGGTTATGGTTTTAGATAAAGGGATACAGGTAGGGAGAAACCAGCATGATTTAATTAAGGGAATCATACCCATGAGGCAAATTATCTTTCCGTAGATAAAGAGTAAACAGTTTGATGCAAAACCATTACGGAGCTACACCATCAAAGGTTCAAAAATAATTGATCAGCGTCATTCAAGTGGAACAATGACCACCAAGGAAGGATTAGTCTAAGAATCCTGTAATGGATTGGATGTGCCTGACTGGTCTCTGCGCAGGAAATCCCCCAGGATGCATCAGGTCGCATGTGGTCACATTGTTTTGAAA